ATCCAGCATTATACACGACAGCCGCTTTTATACAGATTCATTCATGTGCATAGCGTTGATAGTGGATATTCCCCTTCATAATAGACCTTGTTTTATGTTTCCAATCGGACGGTCAGTCCACAATATGAAATGATGAATTCTAACAAAATCGGGAGTATCTGAAAGCACAGCTCGCTAGTCATGCACCCAGTAAACGCCAGTTAATCGATCACGCATCAGAAACCGGCGAAACAGACCTTGCCTCCTTACCACTTCCACGACTCTTCCCCAGCCGCTCCAACAACGTCTCAACCCTCCCATCCCCGCCCGTAATAACCCCCTCCGTCTGCTTATCTCTCCCACTATCCCCAATCACGACCGCCCGTTCCACCACCCCCGTATTAGAAATCTTGAACCTCCCCACGCGCCCATCCTCCCACTCCATCCGCACATAAACCGCCTCCAACGCCGTCGGCGCCAACGAGACAATCCCCAACTCATTCTTCGCTATGCGCGTCTCCTCCCCAGCACCACTACCTCCAGTCGCCGCCGTCGTAGACGCATTAGGGCCAAGAATATCCCTTTCCCACGGCCTCTCATCATCCTCATAGATAGCATCGTCATCATTCACCCCGCGTCTCACAACACCCAGTTTCTCCCGCAGATAGCGCACCGCATCACACCGTAAATGCCACACGACGAGTTGCTTGCGCACTTCCCGGACGAAGGACTTGAGATCCTGTTTGCGCGTCTTGTGTTTCCATGGTTTGAGCTGATCCTCTTCCATCGCGTCTTCCCCATCCTGGGAAGTATTCAGAGCGGTTGAAGTCGGCAAAAACACCTTCTCCAATTTCCTCATATCCACCACTGCCGGAACGGTGTGTTTATGTACGCGCACTTCTCTCTTCTTCCCTCCATCTTGGGGTGTCTTGGGGGATATTCGTCGGAGGAGAATGTAGTATGGTTTCGTGTATGTTCCGTCGCGCGCGCAAATGTCTATTCGTATGCCGAGGAGGTTGGGGGATTCGGATGTTGGTGAGGGGTCAGTGAAGGGGAAGGTGGTTGTGGAGAAGGCGATGCGGTGGTGGTTTGTTTGCGCGTGGGTCGAGGTGCTTTGGATTAGGGGGGAGATGTCGGTCCATTGTTGTTGTTGCTGTTTTTGTTGTTGGGAAGGGAGGGTTAGTGGCTGGGATTTGGAGAGGCGTTGCAGTGCGCGCGAGGAGAGGAGGCTGCTTGTTAGGATGCGACGGCGGTGATGGAGGGTGCGGACTATCGGGTGGGTTAGTTGGTTGTTTGGGGGTGCGGGATTAGGGGGTTAGGGAACGGACTTTCTGCGCGGATGGAGGAAATCTCGGAGTCAAGGTCGTCGGTGTCCATTTTGTTGGTATAGGGGATGTTGTTTGTGGTTTTGGTGGTAGAGGGTGGAAGGTTTAGTGGTGATGGAGCTCGGGCGGAGATAGATACGACTACTATGTTTGGTGGTGGTGATAGGCGGTGTTTGTTGACAGGAGCTGCATCACGTGAGGGGGATCCCGGGCCCGCGGCTCCTTTCAAGGTTGCAGTTCGATTGGCGGGTGAAATTGTATCCTGGTCTGTGATCCACCGTGCTGGGTCGGCTGGGTATTTGCTTAGTCCTTACTTTGGGAGGGAGGGGAGGAGACTTGAATGTTTATCCCTGAATAGCCTATTGAGGTTTATGTTGAATAGAGTAGTTATTGTTACTGTTATGTATAAGTATTGAACCTGATGGTGGAGAGTATAAGTTGTAGCTATGAGTTGTCATAATTGGAGGCTCTGTTGTCACACAGAATTACCCCAGCACGAGATCTTTACTAAGGTACTAATTCCATCTGCATCTGAAGAATCAACGCATGGAGGGATCGCCAGGCCCTTAATGCGCAACATTAATAATGACGGCTGACCACAGCCAATCACAAAGGGAGCCATCGCCGGTTCCAGCCAAGCAGCTGTGGACAAACAAGCTTGACGCTTGAGGCCAGCTTGCCTCAAGTTTACTCGCCTCTCTCCACCACGTCGAATGGATGCCTCATCCCGGCCTGTTCCAGTCCTTTCTTCGTCTCCCTCTTCCCGTCTTCCCCCTTTCTCCGCTTCTTCCTCCCTCCATGACCCTGCGGATCCCTACTCTTCCCACGAACATCGTCATTCCGCAGCGGATCGTCCTCAGGAGGTGGAACTCCAGTCTCTAGCATGCAGCACCGACACGCCTGAACACGACCATCCTTTGCATTACACAGACCACCCCTCTGACTATCCCCCCGGACACTCCGCCGTTCTTTCGCCTTCACCATCTGAGCCCGACTTCTCCGATTCGGATTCCCCCAGTCACTCTCTACACTCACGACACCCGCACACTCCCTCCCATCGTGGCAAATCACCCATGAAGCGCAAAGGCCGCACGGTCTTGAAACGCCGCTCCAAGCCCTCCTTGACCATAGCGACGGGCCAGAACGGCTACGCGAGCGACAGTATGGATTCCTCCATCGAGATGCGAAAGAGGGACACCTCTGTCGAGTCTACGTCCGCTCGGGCGAATCGCCTCATGTCACGTCCCAGTTTCACTCTAGACCAAGATCCTCCAATGACCCCGCAAACGCCCGCCATGACGACGACCTCTTTCGCAAATCTGCCCGCCAGCGACCGGAGAAACTTTCTGCTACTGTGTGTGTTATACTTTCTCCAGGGTATCCCAATGGGTCTGGCCACCGGGTCCGTCCCTTTCCTACTGAAGCCGTACCTGTCGTACGGTCAAATCGGTGTCTTCTCACTCGCATCCTATCCCTACTCGTTGAAGCTGCTTTGGAGCCCTATCGTGGATGCCATCTGGAGCCGGCGGTTCGGCAGGCGCAAGAGTTGGATCACACCCGTCCAGGTCATCGCCGGATTGGCCATGATCTATCTCGGCGGAAGCATTGAAGAGATGATGAAGGAGGCGGGCGCCAATGGTGGTGCCGGCGTCTGGAACTTCACATACTGGTGGTTCTTGCTGGTGTTCTTCTGCGCCACACAGGATATTGCGGTCGATGGATGGGCGATTACCCTCATGTCGCCCCCGAATATCTCCTACGCATCAACTGCCCAGACGGTGGGATTGACAGCCGGCCACTTCCTGTCCTACACTGTGTTTTTGGCCTTCAACTCGGCCGACTTTGCAAACCGCTGGTTCCGGGCCGTTCCTGCTGAAGGTGGATTGCTGTCGCTGGGCACGTACCTGAAATTCTGGGGCTGGGCTTATCTTGTTGTGACGACCTGTTTGGCAGTCATGAAGAAGGAAGACCGGACGCATGAACGCGATAGCATCATGGACGTGTACCGCAGCATGTGGAATGTGCTGAAGCTCAAGAACATCCATACTATTATCCTGGTTCATCTGATCGCCAAGATTGGTTTCCAAGCCAACGACGGCGTGACGAGTCTGAAGCTGTTGGACAAGGGATTTGGCCAAGACAACATGGCGCTAGTGGTGTTGATAGACTTTCCTTTTGAAATCGGACTGGGATACTACGCTGGCAAATGGTCGACGGAGTACACGCCCATGCGGCTGTGGTGTTGGGCGTTCATCGGACGACTGGCGGCAGCCGTCTTGGCCCAGATCACGGTGATGATTTTCCCGTCGGCCGAGCAGGTCCCGTTCTGGTACCTGCTGACAGTGATTGGAGAGCATGTGTTTTCGACGTTCATGAACACGGTGATGTTTGTGGCGGTGAGTGCATTCCATGCGCGCATCGCCGACCCAAGCATCGGCGGTACCTACATGACGATGCTCGCAACGTAAGGCTACTTCCCTCTTCTGCAAGTGACCTTTACTAATCTTTATACAGTGTCTCCAACCTGGGCGGTACATTCCCTCGATACTTCATCCTCAAGCTAGTGGACATGTTCACCGAGGCAACATGTGTTCCACCAACGGTGCCACCTCCGTCCGAGAAACTAAAGGGTGACCTCGTCACGGAGGCCTTCTCATGTGCACTAGAGCCAGACCGGACGCGCTGCGTCAACGGAGGAGGCACCTGCCACGTCCAACACGACGGATACTACACGACAAACATCCTGTGTGTGTTGATTGGCGTAGTGACATTTTTCTTCTTCATCCGGCCGGCTGTTTTGAAACTGCAGGGTCTGCCACTCCGGGCGTGGAGATTAACCCCGGGCAGACACTAGCCAGTCAATTCCATGATGTATTTTAAATATAGCATAAAACCTTCAACAAGAGTCTAGACATGAATGAAGAATCAGACGGATGCATTGAAAGTATCCAGATGACACTTTGTGCGAGGGTAAGCGAGCCCATGGTTCGTTGCGCTCTTTTGGTCCGGATCCCTGCATTAGCGGAGATGTGAAGCACTAGCGTGCCTGATCTGCAGGGTCTGTCTGTATGATATAAATATAGATAGCCCAGCCTCCCCTCATTTCCTCTGACTTCCCATGAATAATTACTGTGATTACTAGTATCAAAAATGAAGTTCACCCTCCTCCCCACCCTAACCACCCTACTTCCCATTCTCCCAGGGGCGTACACCTCCACCCTAGAAACCCTCCGTTACAAAAACGTTCGCCCACCCCCTCCTCCCCTCCCATCCTCAAAATATGTTATATTCCCCCACTAACATCATCCCACTACAATGGTATGTAAACAGTGGGACCTCCGCCTCTTCTCACCAGGCTGCGACCCCAACACCACCAGCTTCGAGCTATCCCTCTTTTACCGACAAGGCGTGTCAGGCACAGCAGATGGATGCGAGACCCTCGATTCCAGCGTGAATGTGTCCGCGGTGGACACCTTCTCGTGGAAGAGTCCCGGCGCGACGACATACGATTTATGTCTGTATGATGTGTGCGGGAGCAGCGGGAATGGCACTGGAAGGGTAGAAGTGATTCGCGATGGATGGGAGGTTTGTGTCAAGTATTGGGGGTGGTTGGGGTGGGGGGTTGTGGAGCATGGGGGGGATTGTTGACCCTTTTTTATTTCATTTCCTTTCTTGGGGCGGGGGGTATGAGTTATGTGATGATATAATATGAGATGAGATATATACTAGATAATATGAACATGGTATATATATATACAGAGTGAAGATTACATCCAACTCAATTAAGCATCTGAATCCCTCACAGCCCAATCCACCAACGCCCTCGCATACCCGCGATGCAACCTCCCCACCCAAGCAGGAACTATCTTCTGCGTTTGTTCCTCGTCACTCACAACCTCATAATCATGTGCCGAGGCGAATCGTACATCGACTACTTCTTCCCCCTGGTATATATACACCTCTGAGATGTTCAGCTCGTGTCGCCCCCCGCTCATCAGTCGCCAGGGGTATCCCCATCGGGCGATTTTCTCGAAGAAGAGGCGCGGTTCGTCGGGCATGTACCATGCGAGTAGGAGGCCTGTTGTGGGGGAGGTTTGTTGGACTGTGAAGACGGAGTTGAGGAGGGAGCGGCGATCGCTTCTTTTTTCTTGTTCTATTGTGTGGTCTGGATTTTGGGGTTTGGGGGTGATGAATAGGGATGAGAGTTTATATGTGAGTGAAGATGTATTTGTAGGTGTTGATGTAGGTATGAACTCCGGGTCAGTGAGGCCCGCATCTCCGGGACTGTAGATTTTATTCTTGATTAAGCCGACGAGGCTGCCTTCGACTATCAGGGGTTTGGTGTTGAGGAAGGTGAGGATCCAGGCGTTGGTTAGGGTTGCTTTGTTGGTTGTGGTGGAGTCGTGGGTATCGGTGTGTTGGGATTGGAGAAGTGTAGAGTATCGCTTTAGAAGTGATTTCGCTGGTATGTGTTTGGCTTCGTAGACGTCGATTTCGGGACAGTGTTGGGTTGTTGGATTGCTTGGAGTGCGGAGAGCGAGGCTGGTGGTGGTGGTTGGGTCGATGGGGGGATATTTGGCTTCGAGGGTGCACAGGTAGCGGTGCGTGGTGTAGGTTAGGATGATGGGAGGTGTGGTGAGGATGAGGAGGCGGGTTGAGGGGCGCATTGTATTTGTCTATTGAGATATGTGGTAGATGAATAGTACTACTACTAGTAGTGGTACTAGATGAAGAAGGGGAATATATAAGTAAGGATTGAAGTGGTTGTGTGCAGGATATTTATAGAGAGTCAATGGGATAAAGAAAGTTGGGCTGAGACTTGTGCTTGGATAGCTTCGGATATAAATAAGGAAGATCACTCATCTAAGAATCAGGCTCCGAAACGGACTTGGTCGTATGACCCTGAGTTCCGCTAATTAGCTGTTAGTTTACTATTACTTGGATTGTGTTAAGGGTTTAGTCCGATGTAGCCTGAAGGATGATCTGACAGGATGTACAATAGACGAACACAGTCACATAACAATTCAAATATTAGTTTATCATTAAGCCCAAATAAAACCCATTTCCCATATTGAATATAATCTATTGCAACTTATGATCAGACCAGTTCATGCCCTGATAGATACTCTTAGTAGATAATAGATTAAACCCCACCAACCCCGACCCACCCCGCCAGCCGATCATCTCATCTCATCACTTCCCCGCCCAAATTTTTCTCCAACACCAACACCAGCACCACCATCACCACTCCTCATTTTACATACAAACAATCTACAAACCACACCTCGACAATCAATAAACTACAAACCAGCATGTCCACCCTCGACGACATCTTCGGCTCCTCCCCCCCACCCACAACCCACCACTCCCATCCCCACCCTCCCAGCACCACCACCACCGAACCCTCCGACCTCCCCTCCCTCCGCCGCCAACACGTCACAGCCGGCTACCGCGACGGCATCAGCGCCTCCAAAACCTCCCATGTCCAAGCCGGTTTCGATGCCGGCTTCCCCATCGGCGCACAACTCGGCATGCGCGCCGGTACGATCCTCGGTATTCTCGAGGGCGTGCTACGCGGGTACGATGAGAGCCAGAAAGCCGTGGTGAAGAAGCTACCTTCGGCTGGTCGGAAGGGTGCTACCAGCACCAATGGCGCCGCCACTGCCACTTCTACTACTCCTACAATTACCGACGAGGAACGTCAAGCCAAGCGCGCGGAGATACTAGCGTTGTACCAACAGGCCGTGAAGGAATTGGATGTGCGGAAGGTATTCGAGGGGATCAGTGAGAAGGAGATTTCGGAGGGGGAGAAGGCCGAGGTTAGATTGGGGAGACAGGGTGAGGGGGCGATAGGGAAGTGGGAGGAGAAAGTGAGGGTGCCGAGGTGGGAGGAGAATATGGATGCGTTGGAGATGAAGGATACTGCTGCTGCTGCTGCCGAGGGGAAGGAGGTGGATGTGGAGGAGAGCTGAATGGGTGATCGTAGATGGTACTTTTTATCCTTCTACACCTCTTATTTTTTGTGTCTGGCGGGCCCTTGCGCCTGTCGGAATGCAACTAGAGGATCGGGGCGATGTCAGCCTAGCCTGGACTTTTTTTCCAGGAGACCCAGCAGCAGGAATTTTCCTGCTTGCTTGCTTGTTTGCCGGCAGGCAGTCTTGGCTTGTATGCAGTGCTTCAGAACTGCATACATACGTCGGGGTCTGGTCTCGGGATGGCTACCTGGCTGGCTGGCTGGCTGGCTCCTCCCCCTGCTGCTTGCTGTCGGGACGGCAGGACAGAATGGCCGGATGGTCGAGACGGGACGTGGCTGCAAGGTACGGAGGGGACTTTGCATGGCTTTTGTGTAGCTATGGCTGGGTGGTGGTTAGATCACACTGGATGTGGAATGACTACGTCGAGTGTATGTAGTTGTGCCGAGCAGAAGACTGATACTATTATCTACATGGTGTTAGAAATGGATCGAAATAGTGAGTGGTGTGTTCCAAGCTGCCACTACTAAAGCCAAACCTACCTATCCATCCATCCATCTATACAAAGAAAGTTCCTAGCTAGATACGATAGACAAAAACCTTATGCACAAGACCAAATCACAACCACCCATTCAACCAATATTCACAAAAGTACTAAACTAAGGCTGCCAAAAACCGGTTTCATGACGCGAGTCAATCACTCACACAGACAGTTGAAAAATTCAGTAGTACGTAGCCAGATCCTCCCTCATTTCTTCAAGGGATGGATGGAACATCCCTACGCAGTAGGCCGAGCTAGCCCGCGGACGCATCGCATCGCATTTCTCCAAGGGATGAATGAATGAATGAATGAGTGAATGAATGGATAAACCAGGGACTGACTACAGTAGACTAGTTCCCGTGTTTTTACTTTGGAACCCCCTCGCTGGAAAAACCCCACACATGCCGATGGGAATTCTTTCCCACAGGGTAGGAATCTGGCTGGGCCTTTGTGGTTCCGTTTGTTTTGGTTTGTTCGTATTAGGAAGGAGGGCATGGTGTCGGTCAATTCATGAGGTATGGATGGATGGATGGATGGCTACGGTGAGGAATGGGGTAATCATCGGTGTGGTGAATGTGGTTTTCTTTGTTATGGCATATGGTATGTTTGTTTATGGTATAGTATGAGAAGAGCTCAGTAATCGAAGTAGTATGGAGTGAGTGACAGGCGCGCCCGTGCGGGCAAATGCAAGCAATAGTGGGTAGTGAGTGTGGGTGGTTAGGAGCGAGTGACAGTAGATAGATAGACAGACAGACAAGGAAATGGGTGTCATGATGGACACAAAGACAGACAGACATGAGCATAACCTGAAATCAGTAGGTGAAAAAAAGAGTGGTATGAGACCAACTATCGTAATCAGTCGTTGCCTCATCGTTACATGAATCATCGCAGCGCGTTCGCATTGCATTGCATCGTTTTGAGACTATCGGTGAGATTTCCATCTCAGGGAATATTCGTCTCGTCAGGTCATTGATTGGACATGGGCATGGATGGTGCCGCGCATCCATCATATGTATGTGGATTGTCATCATCCGCCGGAAGGGATTGTGGCGGGTCGTTTTGCGTTCAGCGTCATAAACATTAGATCAATCATGGCGATCCATTCAGTATCGTCGGACAGGGCCGTAAGGGTGGTTTTTGGTAGATCGTAGCAAATAGCCGTACATCATTTAACGCCGTATAGGACTTTTGGTTTTCGAACAGGAATGAGAAAATGAAAAGGATCGGGAATAACTACATGGGTCTGCGGGACCGGGGAGGTGTAATGTCGCCATGACAGCCCAGCACACGCAATGACTCCCATACCCGTTTATAGAGTGGGGGTCGTGCCAGGGAGAGGATGGCCTTGTCGGATCGCTCTTCGCGACAGAGGGTGCACACTTTTTCACGCTCCGGGGAAAGCGACTTCTTCGAGTCAGACCGGGGTCGGCGGCGTGACTTTGCTTGCATTGCAGCTGCAGTTGTTCGGTCAATGTCGATGGTGCGCGCTTGACCGCTGCCGCGTCTGGACTGCGGTGGTACTAGAGAAGTCGTGGATGGGGCAACCAGTCGCAATGTCTCAGCCGCTGGCCGCAAAGCCTCTCGTGACCGCGCCTTGACGGTTTTCCGCGCGGGAGACGGGCAGAGATCCTCTGGGGGCTGATCGGGCATGGAAGAGAACTTCTCCAAATGATTGCTGTGCTGACTGTTGGGTGTCTGCGGAGGTTGAAGCTTTGGCGCCGACTTGGCTACCCTTAGATGCACTCGACTGCGAACCTTCTTCAACTTGTCCATTGGCTTCTTGGACAGCGACTTGGGATCGACCGACTCGGTGTCCGAGTCGGATTCCCAGACTGACTGTTCGCAGTACGCTGGTCGTGACGCTGAGGTGGATGGACGTTCACGCGCTGAGCTGGCTGTGGGATAGCGTTCAAGCAAGGGTGATCCTGGACTGGGACTAGGCACAGGACTCGGACAATCATTTGAAGGTATGAACATTGCTTTCTCAAAATGAGTGGCGTGTGGCTCCATAGTCACGGGGTTAATGCGAGACGGGGGAGAGATCATTGACGGAGCAATAGGAGGCCGGATTGGGGGAGGGGGCCCCTTCCTGCCGCTATGGGCAATGCCATTCCGGGCTCCATTCGGTAAAGATGGCAATGGCTTCCCACGATGGGAGGGAGGATCGTGACTGTCTCCTTGGTGCATGACCAGGGTATCTGACGACGCGTTAGGCGTCGCTGTATGCGGTCGTCCTTGTCGTACAGGCGTGGAGGGCTGTGTACACAAAGTTACCTGCGACTGATTCAAAGGAGTGGATGAACAAGGATATACGTTGTGTCTAGGACTGGGCGGGATAGGAGGGGCGTGCACTGGCAGAGACTCTACCGCGGGGAGGGAGTTGTCAGGATAAATGGGAGCAGAGTAATTGGATGAGAAGGAGCTGCTTGGTGTCAAGTCTGGTGTAGCTTCGGTCTGCACTGAGCTGAACGAACTGTGGTCGTGATGCCCAGAGGCTGTTCCCCAGGGACGGGCTGACGAAACTTGCTGAAGACCGAGTTGATGTTCTAGCTCGACCACAGACAAGGTGGATCGGTTGTTGTTGGATCGCAATCTCGCAGATTCACCGCGTGCAGTGACAGCAAAGGGAATGTCTTTGGAATACACCGAGGATATCATTGAATACGGGTTACCTTCTTCACTGCCTCTCACATCGCGACTACCCGGTCGACGATTGCCCCAGGGAGAGGCGCCTCCTGGAGTATGCTCCAGGTAGAATGGATCAGGGATCGAATCGTCAACAATCTCTGGCCCTCTAACAGTATAGAATGATGATGCCCGCTTCCTAGGCGGCGTAGCTGTGGGCAGAATGCTTGCAGTCTGTGATCGGTTCCGGCAGCTGTGGAAGGCGTTGGATTCGCCGGCAGGCCGAGGATATCCGTCAGCCATGGGCTATGATTATGACGCCGGTGTGAATTGGATGTGGTGCATTCAGACACGCAGAAACTTCAACAGAAATGAAAGGGACGGATGCAGTTCATACAGATTCAAAATGAGAGACTAGGTACAAACGAAGGAATGAGGATGGCCAGAAACGAAGGAAGGGTCAAGGGCGGAGGGGATATGTTTATACATCTCTTCCCCAAAAATAACAGTGATGCCTATCCTGGCCTAGGGCAGCCCCATTGCTGGATGGTGGCTAGGTCGGGGAGGAGCCCCGGCGCATGCCAATGCAGAAAGGCGTAAACAAAGCTCGAACGTCCGAGCGCTCTGACTCTGAGGACCTATCAGACCTTACATGGTCTCCTTCGGTAGGGATAAGGATGTGCAGCAAGGCGGCAGACCATAGATACTGGAGCAAGGGAGGCCCCGGAATCCCGATCCGCAACTTTGTTGACGCGGGGTCCTGGTTTTCTGACTCGGCATTATAACCTTGTGCAGTTTCCCTGGAGTTTCAGACTCGGCCTGAGAATGGTATAATGTCAACAATCGCTGTCTGCAGCGTTGCAATTCGAAAGCATTGCGGGCTTGTCAGCTGAGGTCCAGGGGTGTGCCTCCATCATCATCCGCTATCTACTCCCAATGTTCAGGTTTGGCAGCGCAAAAATAGGGCCTGCATGCATACAGTCGACCGGTCCTGCATGATTGTCCCGCTAGTAAGCGCGGCTAGCGATACTACAGGCCCTTGTTGATTGAGGCCTGCCTTGCTGTCAGTGCAATTTCGAGGAACCTGCGTAGACAATGTCCTGAATTATGCCGGCAATTCCAGAGCCGTGGATACAGGCTGGGGTCTGCTCCCAGGAACCTGGTCTCAAGAAAGAAGCAGAACAGAGGTGGTCGCGGATGGCAGAGGCAGGACATGCCGGACTCAACCACGGCTCTGGTGGCCGATCGGCAGCCGATCTTTAGGTCTGGCCTTGTCATCCGCGACCTCCATCTCTTTGTTGCGGGTCATTCTTCCGCTCATTAACCTCGAGCGATAATTAGACCAGACTGTCAAAGAAACTATCTTCTTAGTCGAAGTTTCCGACGTAGTTGTTCAGTGCCAAAGCTCAAGTTCTGAGCAGATCCCGTCTGACGCAACTGGTCTTTGGCAATTGGCTATACAAAGATCATGCCACGACCCGCATTCCAGAATTCCAGGTTGCTGCGGATACTGCAGTTCAGGCATTGGAAGGCCGGAGATCTTTCCAGTGTAACTGATCCATTGAGTTTAGTCGATTTCTCAGAGGTGGTTGTCTGGGTATAAGAAGGTCTTGCCCCCCACGCATTTATTCTCCGAAACGGCTGGCTTGCCGCTCTGCTGGACTTGGTACTCAAGTCCTTGCTGTGAGGTCTGCAGAATATTGGCTTTTTTGCCGCAATAGACTCCCTAGCTCCTTTCCTTGAACCAGCCAGTTTCTGCACCTGTTTCTTTCGTTTGAGATTTGTGTTCGGCATAATGTGCATCAATTGGCAGCAATCGTCCTTGCAAACCGTTACCCTCACCACAAGAGTAAAACCGCCCCATAGCATGTCATTGAAAACTCAACCACGTCGTATCTTTCCTGTCTGTCCTGGCAAAGCATCTTCCATCAATCCATCCGTACCTTGGACTCATTTCGTCTAGACTATCATTAATCGCATCATGCACATTTGCGTTTACTTTGAGTGAGGCCACTCTGGCCTCGGGCCTGTGGCGGCTCGAGTGACTGACAGTGCGGTTTTACGAGACTTCGTCGTACAAATTTAGCAGGCATCTAGACCGTCGGGGAAGCACGAAGTTGCATGGCCCGCATTCCCGGACCTGTGCATGACGATGCGGTTTTGCATTTACTCATGCATCTCTCCTAGAACTGCTCCGCCGGTTATGCATTGGGATCACTTTTGCACACCATTTCAATGTAGGTGGGAGATGTCTTGTGTGTAGGCCATTGCAGGTGTAATAGGACAGGTCTTTAAGCTGGCTCTAATTTCCCCATATGGATGTTAACGCAGAAGCGCCAACGTTTCTTGCCAGTCATGATCAGTGACGCCTCCCGGAGTTCTTTTGCATCTTCTATTGATGCTTCTTCACGGGTAGTTCGGGACGAAGGCGCACGATCCTGACGCATCCTTGAGCAGCTAGTATTCGTTTACTTGCATGGGATCAAGTTCAGCTGACTACTTGTGCGCAGGCAATAACAGTCACTATTTGCCCTGTCCTTGGATTGTCTCCCCACTGGACTTCTGAATCATTGCCGAAACATCATCAATTGGATGCAGAAACGGATTTGAAGATTATTCAAACATCACCGATGCACCAGAGAAAACGTTATGTAACTAATCTAGTCAAGAGTGGCTGTTTTGTTCAGAGTGGTGAGACTTACTGCAAGGCATCTCGACTGGTCTGAAACCGGGTCGGACGGATTGCCTCCCTTGAACTCAATTAATGCCCGACTCAGAAGGCCCTTGCCTATGGCTCGTCCTTTTGTAGAATTTTACCCTTAAGCTATAACCCCGAGGGTTCACAGGTCCAATTTCCACCAAGAGGCTGAAATTGCACCTGGACCCCACGATCAACGCCGAAATCCTGTTTTATAGAACCTATAGCCCCTCTCAAGGAAGATGCCCTAGTTCAGCGATGGCTCTGGTCTCGTAGGAAACGAGACAGAACTGATTCATCACATTTACTTACTCCCCTTCCGAGAATCCCTTTTGATATTTTCTCCGTGTGGTTGTACCGCTTACTGTGCGACCGTGGAGGAATAAGCCAACGCTCCATCGTCATCACCACCGGGTCTGTGCTTTAGCTGGACCCAGAGTGGAGTGGATTCGATTGCCGGCCCTGGCCGTATCCAGGCTCTGAAAACTCTAGCACAGATCATCAAGGTGCCTCTTTCCTTCGAATAGTGCCAATCATCCCACCTTTCTTTAGGCTTCGAGTTCGAGAGGCTTCTCCAGCAAGAAATGACGGCCTGAACTACCGAAAGTCTACCAGAGACCTGATTCAGTACCTGGGCCACTGGCCAGGTACATGGCGGTGCTAGTTGGCAGCTACCTAATCATGGCGTGGAACTAAGTTGAACCCCAATCAGGAATCGCCAGCACACCCGCTAGGGATTGGGCCATTACCACGGCGAAGCTTGGACTAGCGTTGGTTTCTATATATATGTTTTTTCCGACGGGGCCATGATGCAATACATATGGAGTGGGTTTGATATCATTCTAGAGTATCACGGTGTCCAGTAGAGGGGAAAGCCAACGGCCAGAGATTCGTTCGATGAATGATTTCGTCCCTATAGCCCGATGAGCAACAGGGCTTCGGCAGACAAAGAGAGACATGAATTGCCTAAATAGAAACCAATTGATTCACCTTGGGTAGACAATTATTTTGTTGTCCAACCAACGGGCCATCTGAATCATCGTAGTCTATCTGTGCGACCTTTTGTAAATTGAAGGTGGGAAGGTAAGGCGTGTGGTAGGAATTATCTTGGCCTGCAGTGTTGTGATTCACGACCATCGGCGGGTCAACCATCTTTCTTAAGTGCCTGCGGCGAACATCAGAAGCTGAATGCGGTGCAGTTGGGGGTGGTAGTGCAGATCCAGAGAATCAGTCTCCTCATCGATCGGGAGGGTGGATTTTTTTGGTGCCCGGCGTGACTGACAACGCGCTCCTCAGTCGATTTTCCCGATCTTTTCCCGTTTCAATTTCCCTTCCTTTTCCACCCTCCGCCGCCCGCCTCACAGTTAGCTAGCTGTTGTTCATACAACTCAGACCGCTGCTACCCGGCCTTGAATCCTCCGCGGGAGCCATTGGGCTTGCTTGCTCTGCTCCATGACTGCTACGAGCCTCTAGCGGTGCTCGTTGCGGTCTGCAGGGCGCTTCCTGGTACAGGTAAGATCCCGTCGCTGCAACTGTCTTCCCGATTCCCAGCCATCGTAATTCTGCGACGGCGTCTCCCTATTCGACCAGCCACTGCCTTCAAATCCCCTCTCACTCTCATTTTGCGTGGCTCGCTCTGAACTGCTTCCACGCGCCCCATTACTATTCTGTCGTGTTTCGAATGAATTTACCCACTGTGCAGCATTCTTTGTGCTAACCCATCGGACATACACAGCGGCGGGTTCATCTTGTGTGCTGGATAGTGCTAGATACTGCTGGAGCTGTGCATATTTCTCCTGACACGCTGTCAAAACCCACGTCTGGTTGCAGGGCTCTCGTTCCTGGTCCCATTCTGTAGGGGCCGAATCCCAATTCGCACCCACGTTGTCGTCGCATATCCCGTTTCAGCATCCTCCATCTTCAGCGGTGTCTCATCGCAATCGCGCCGACTTTGACGAGACCTACGACGTTAACGACCCTACAACATTTACGACCCTTTCACCGCAACGCCAGCAGCAGGCTGCTTCCCGTGTCCTTCCTGACTCTACCCATCATCCGTCACTTCGACCCTCGAGCGCTGTCGGAAGCACTCGTTCATTGCGGAGAACAGCCAGACTTTCCCAGCGACCTCCGTCCGTCTATGGTTCCGGAAGGCCATCTCAGGTAGAACAGACTATACCTGTGGTCGTGCGACCCGTTTCGGAACACCAAAGTGGTCTCGCTGCTCTGCGTCCAGCACTGTCTGAGGCGCAAACCGAAGAAGACGACGAAGAAGCCGACTCGGAAGAGGAATCCTCCCGGCGACCAGGTGAATCGTACTGGCCCCACAGGACAACCAGTGTCTCCCCGCGTACCGCGTCTGCCATTCTCTGGACCTTGGAGGAAGCCCTTCGCAAACCAATTCCGTTTACGTTAGACTGGGAAGAAGTGAATGCGCCCATGTCTGACGTCGCGGGTGCCCCCGGTCCGTCAGGCTTTGGAGCCAATGGCCGTACTCAGAATGGATCTACTCGCGCCACTCAAGGCCCGGTCCCTGTCAACCCGCACCCTGCTAGTGGTGTGCGGACGCCCACGGACATCATGAGGCAACGCCGGGATCGAGAAGCTCGCAAGAAAGCAGAGCAGGAGGCGAGGGATCGGGAGCAGGATGACATCGAGCGCAGACAACAACAGGAGCAGAATAGGCCCGGTCAAGCTTATGCTGCTGGCGTTGCCGGTGACAGAACTTCGCAACGAA